AGCTTCTATTAGTTTACTTTTTTCTCTAATTTTCCGAATATATTTTTTACATATATAAAACGGTTAGTTTTTATTGGAAAGTAGTTAATGTAGGTGAAGAGTGAAGATCTATGTCTGAAGTGCTATTGCAGCTTTTCACTGAACATATTAACTTTTTATTTGGTTTAACTTTAGAAGAAAACTTCGTCGACTCCATCATCAAAAAAATTTTTACTTTTTTAATGTGTTTTGTTATTTTAATAAACAATTTTACAATTTGCCTGCACAGTTCCTATGTAAATTTTTCCCTCATTCGAGTTATAAATTTTGCCACCAGATGGTGTATGCCCGTTTGACGGATCCCAATAGTTATCCATTAATTATGCCATCTTTCTCCTTTTAGGTACCTTTGTAAATCGATTAAGCGATCATTACAGATTAGCCCCCGAAAATATAACCCTTATTGGGTACAGTTTGGGTTCGCACGTGTCTGGTGTTGCTGGGACCACGGCAAAGGGTAAAGTTGGGACCATAATTGGTCTTGACCCCGCAGGGTTGGCCGTTGCTTTTGTTAATAAATATTGTGCCAAATTTGTACAAATTATTCACACGTCGGATATTCTGGGTTATCAAGATTTGATAGGACACGTAGATTTCTACCCCAACGGCGGTAAAAAGCAACCTGGTTGTGAAGACATCTTGTGCGACCACGTTAGGGCTGTAATGTATTTCGGGGAATCCCTCCTAACCGGAGGTTTTACTGCTGTTAATTGTAATAATTACAAGAACTTCGAAGCTGGAAGATGCGATAAAAATAAAGTTTCGTACATCGGCAGAATGGATTTGGACAAGGGGTAAGTGTTCTTTTTTATTTAAACTGGGTGCCATTTTTTTATTCAATATACTTTGTGTTTTAGGGCTCGTGGACGTTACTATCTCAATACCGCCTCCACAGCACCATTTTCTGTTCGTTAATTAATATTTAATTGTTCTTTTATTTAATCTTTTTTGTTGGGGTGTGATTGACCCGAAATTAATTTTTATAATATTATCATAATTTATTGGATTGATATGAGGCTTATATTGGTACAATTAATGCTTTTTGTTAAGTATAAATATAGGCTTATTAGGCTTTAAAATTCATACCTATGAATGAAATGATTAAATTGCATTTACGTAATATTACATGTTATTTCAATGAAATAAATTATATTACTACACTTATTCGTTTTATTATTATAACAAGTAACTTTAACTAATATTAAAGAAGCAGTCATAAATAATTTTTTATTATAAATCGATTAAATATGTTATAATGAATCTATAAATGAGGAAATTGTACAATGGTTTTTTGTAGAAAGTTATTCAAATTTAAATCTATTTACCAGCGGAAGTAGGTGGCAGCACTAGGCCGGCGTTAGTACAGAGAAGTTTGCGTGCGTGCGTTTGTTCGAATTTAGGATGTGTTTTTTCGGCAAAAAATACCATTTTCGTGAATAATTTCCGTTGAAATGTTGTGTAAGACATTAGACACGTCTTTTAAAAGTGTTTTTTGCTTTGAACTGGACAACTGTGTGCCCCAATATCATCACCAACTCCTCCTCCAGAAGATGATTCTCAAAAGCTTCTGGAACCCTTAGGAGTCACTTACAGCATTCAAGGTACTGCAATTTGTTTTCTATTTGCTATTTTTATGAATTTATCTCGATTGGAAGCCGATAGTGTGATTTTGGTAATGTATCGTTAAACAACCTGTTGCAACTCCAAGCTTACGATTGCTAGTCACCTGTATGTTGGTTACACAGGGTCAAATGAAAGACAAATTGATAATCTTGTAAGCATCAAGGCAAGTAACGAGTATTTCATGCTTTGACAATTTAAATTACTCATATAAGAGTAATATTTCTTAATAGGTACACCGAAATTATCAAAACTATAAGTTTGTTTCAACTTTATTGTATGATTGATAGACTTGTCCATGTTAAAGAACCAGGGTTTTGTAATAATTTAACAGCAGTTCATGCTCTTATTTAAGCAACTTTCTTTAATATATAAATTAAAGCAATGAAGACCTATGCTTGTTTAAAGTGAAACAAGAAGTTAAACGTTAAATTTATATTTTGGCAGGAAAATGATAGAGTATAAGTGGTTTAATAGAAATTTTTACATATTAAAGTATTGTATTGAAGTCATAGTAGAAAGTTACTAGACTGCTAGCAAAGGATAATGAAAGCATTTTGATTTATTCTTTAATCCACAGGAGTTAATATTTCATTCGCTCCAAGTTTTCCATTCCATGCCATCGGGTGGTTTTACAGGAACTCTTCCTTGTTTTATTTGATCCCAGTTTGTGCTTAAAACAGTACCACCACTTTCCATCTGTAACAAAAGTTAGAATTGTAGAAAATGACACTGTTGAGAGAATTTAGTTCAAAGAGCTTACAAAGCTTTTGTTCATGGCTCTTTTAACATTTTCATCTCCTTTGCCATATATTTCTTGAAACAGTTTATTGAGGGCTTCTTCACCCTCAGGCTTTTCCTTTTCCTCTTCCTGTTTTAATTCTTTTTCAATGGTTGACCAATCTTTGCCTGGTTTTGATGTAGGATAAGAGGGAGGTTTATTTGAAGATGTGCTTGCTAAAAATATATAAAAAACAACCAACTGGGCATACAGCTATCATCAATATTACTTACATTGTGGCATTACTTTAACTTCATGCTGAGCAACAGGTCCTTCCAACTTTTCCCATCGAATGCCTTCTTGTTTCTTTAAATTGATTTCGATCTGTTAAGAATGACATATGATAGTAACTATTATTAGAGTCTATGTAATAATTTACATACTTTTGCTGCAGAAAGTTTATAACTGCACTGTTCAGGAACAATTTTGTGAGGTAAATGGAATTTTTTATCTACTTGTTGGTCGCTTTGCACAGTTTTGAAACTGAGGCTTACTAAGTCATCTTTAAATTGGATCTGCAAATGATCCTTGTTCACGTTCTTCTCTAGGACTGTGATAACGACTGTTGCCTCAGTTTGATACCAATCATATTTCAAACTCTGAATAATTTTTAAAAATTAATAATATAACCTTATATTTAAATTAAACTATTTTTATACCTTATTGCAAGAGTCACTGTTCTGCTCACTCATTATTCTTTAGATTAAAATTTAAACGCATACTAAAATAATTGAACTGAAAGAATATTCGTATTTTGACTAATCTTTGTGCTATATTTTGACAATATTTTTGTTCCAGTATTAAACTGAAGTTAGCCATTACAATAGCTAATGTCAGTGACTTGAAGGTAGGGTCAAATGTATATTTAACTATTTCTCTTGTGGCGAGTTTTTTTTTAATAGAAACTTTCTCTTGTGGCAAATATTTTGAAAGTTCTTATTTTGATTGGTGGATTATTTTTTATTATTTTCTAATTATATTTTTTGATGGTGTGTAATAAGAGACTTGTAACCCTTCCACAAATTTATTTAAACAAAGTAGGTACAGTTTTAGTAAAATAAATATAGTATCCCATTTTACAACAAAATATAATCATTCTATATAATAAAAACTTAAAACAAAATTGAAATTTTTGGAGTTTGAAATGTGAACTGGCAAATGTTCACAGAAATGCTATATAATACAAACAACATACAGATTTATTACAAAGTACAAACAAAACGAGATTGTAGAGATCTATTTTAATATACAATTATTTAGTGTAAAAAATAGTAGTTCGGATCTAACTGCTACTTACAATTAAATATATTTTAATTGATGTTTACTGGCCCCTATTACTGGCTATTTATATGTGTTATTAACAATTCATTAATGGGTTTATCAAATTAAATAAAACATTAGGAATGTTTTAATCTTTTGCAACGTTGATAAAATAAAAACAAACCTGATATTTTACATGTAGTAATCCCATTATTGTATTAGTGCGTTTTAAGTTTTAATAGTGTAATTATGAGTCGATCACAGTTCCAAATTAGTGGTTCTTTTTAATTACAACAAAATATTTACAAAAGCCTGTTAATTTCCTAATAATTTCTATATTTTATAGAGTACAGGTTTCTTATCTAAAACAGAGGAAAGCGTTATTTTAATTATTTTTTTATGATTAAAATGACAAATTTTTTATTAGGATGGATCACAATTAATTCTTTTAAATATTATTCATCAACTTTTAAGTTATCCTTTCGTTTAGTTGAAGGCACAATAACAAATTTTTTAAATGCTTTAAAGTGATAAATATAAATGCAATATTTACGTAATTTTCTGTGTGTTTTGTTTAACGTAAGTTCAGAACGCTAATAGGTGAAATGCATTATATTTAATCTTATTTTGTACATACTAAATGGAAGACTATGAGTTATAGGCACCGTATTTTATATCATTTCATTTGAATGATTGAAAGTATTCATATCATTACCTTTTAGCATAGGCAACACACATAACGCTTCATGCTCTGGTTGCATAAGTAAGCGCCAACCATACGCAATGTTTTACACCTATTCATATGTTTACCCATTATCAGATCGTTAATAAAACGTAGATCTATAATAACAACATTTACAAATTCCCTAATAGACATTTTCCACCATAAAAAGCTAGAAAATTGTCTACTGCAATTACTGGCACAAGTTCCAATATTGTTAAATACATGTTTCAACGATAATAAAATAGCTAATTAATAATATACACACACGGTTTACGGAATGGCTAAGATAAAAACCTAAAAACAATTTATTACAGAAATAATAATAATATTAATAATATCAATAACTTATCAAATAAATCGAAATTCGACTAAATATATATTGGCAGATACCATACATTATAGGACTTTATGTACAGATCATAATTTTATTCCCGTCTCGCTATCTATCATATTTAACGTTAAAAAATCATCATATAAAAAAATCTATTACATATCTTCATTCACAATTAATATTTGGCTTAAGTGAATTTGTTTTACCTTTTGACGAACATTTTGTCTTAAATAAAGTGTTGCCCTTTTATTTTGTAGCGCAAATTACAACATCATTGTGTAGTGGCCAAATTAATGAAATTAATTAATTTAGTTTTTAATTAAATTTACAACATTCTCCCATACAGGACGATCAGAAGGAACTGTCCTTTCGGGTGTATTATTTGCAAATATCTATCGGTCAGTTTGCGAAGGCGAACTCCATAGTAAATCATTGGAGCGAAAGTGAGCTAATTTAACACTTTTTTTTACACGTTATTCAATATACGGTTACCCTAACGTTGTTACAACCAGCTTTAACCATTTCAGGTAGCATTTTTGTAGGGAAACAGCCATTTTTCGGTGCGATAATTTACTAAAGAGTTCGCCTTCCGAAAATGTCCCAAGAAACTTTATTATTGTCAAGATTCTACCCTGTATTAGGATCCGTCAAATGGGAGGAGCCTAAAAGCATGGCGCCGATTAGGGAAAATTTATTGTACTTCCTATAGTGTACCGTGCAATTTTTAAATTACGATAAAATATAAGTATTGACACAATATGTGATTGGGCTGACACAAAGCCTCGGAAAGGAAAGGAAATTTCGTTGAAGGTGAGCGTGTTTTTAATGCCAATCACATTATAAAATTCGGAAATAACAAATTCGGAAGCTAGCCTTCTAATTCCGTCAAGTTTACTGCCTACTTTTTACAAACTTCGGATTTAAGAAGTGATTCACGTTATATAATTGGTGAGGTGATTCTGGGTGATTTAAGCAATATCATATCAATGACTTGCACGTGCAANTTTTTTTTATTTATTATTAGATGAATAAATAGACATTGTAACTTATTTTTAGGTAATTTTATAATTCTATCTGCCCCAAAATGAGACACATTTTTCTATTAATCGTCGTATCATCAATGGCGTTGGTATCGTTTTCAAAAAAAGGTAAGATTTACGCAAAAAAAGCACACCCAGTAGCGGCTCTTAGAAGTCCCTCCTCAAAGGGAACAAATTAATTTTTACAATTAATAAAACTTTCAGTTTCTCCAAAAACAATCAACGACATCCAAGAGGTGCTGCCAGAAAAACTGAAGCAGCGTATCCCACCCCACATTCAAATTAAACCCTTCGGGAGACCCATTACCACGGACGATGTCAAATTGTACCTTTACACTCGTAAAAATAGGGGAAAACACGACGCTGAATTGATTAGGTCGAACAGTATCAACGACGTAATGACTTCGAAGTACTTTGACAAAACTAAACCTGTGTTTTTCGTTACCCATGGGTCCTTTAGCAACTATTCGACCCATGTTAACGATTACATCCGACCAAATTTACTTAAAGTTGCCGACGCCAATTTATTTTACGTTGACTACCATGAACCTGCCCACGATGTTAATATTATACCTGGGACCATTTTTACAGTAGGGAGAATTGTTGGTATGTTATATTTTCTTACTGTTTATTGGGATCCGTCAAATGGGAGGAGCTTAAGAACATGGCGCCGATTAGGGAAAATTTATCGTAGTTCCTATAGTGTACAGTGCAATTTCCAAGTTTTTAAATTACGATAAAATGATAAGTATTGACACAATATGTGATTGGGCTGACACAAAGCCTCGGAAAGGAAATTTCGTTGAAGGTGAGCGTGTTTTTAATGCCAATCACATTATAAAATTCGGAAATAACAAATTCGGAAGCTAGCCTTCTAATTCCGTCAAGTTTACTGCCTACTTTTTACAAACTTCGGATTTAAGAAGTGATTCACGTTATATAATTGGTGAGGTGATTCTGGGTGATTTAAGCAATATCATATCAATGACTTGCACGTGCAAAGCCGACTTAAGAGAACGTTGCACGTTGCAACGTTCCTATGTAAATTTTTCCCTCATTCGAGTTATAAATTTTGCCACCAGATGGTGCATGCCCATTTGACGGATCCCAATACATGCAGCGTGTTCTGTCCGCGTTGGCGCATTGTGAAACTGTTTGTGTTGTAACAAGAAGTACTTCCACTTCTTATGGAAAAAAAGGAAAAGTACTTGGTCGGTAGGTACTTATCCTGTACATAGATACACGTATTCGTGTTCGTTTAACAGTCCACATGCAGAATTTCTTCATGTGTTCAGTTGTCACCCGATAGACCCGTCAAAGTCTCGACCAAAACTGATATGAATCGACTTCATTCACTTTTACCCATACATGGGAATGGGCATAAAAGCGTGTACACATGTGTGGTCCGCGAAGGGCCGCGTAGCCGATTCGCGGAATTGGGGCGCGTATGTTACCGCGATTCTCAGAAAACCCGCGAGAAAACACCGTACCTATGTGGGACATAGAACGCGCACTTTTTAAGATGGAATCGGGAAACTTATTCGTACAGATATTGTGCACAGTAAAAGTAGGTAGCAGGTACTTTTCCAAGGTTTAATATATTTTTATTTGCTTCTTATTTCACTCGTTATGTATCTCGAGTGTGTTTTTTTTTGTGCGCTTTGTAGGGCAGAGATTTTCCGTTAATATATGTATAATTTGCATACGCCCTGTTTAATTTTTTGATTGAGATAATGCGGCTTATCTCGTTAAGTATATGTAATTATAATAATTGGTTAGGTTAGTGTTATTAGTGATTATTGCTACATCACAAGTGAGGAATAATTCGATTATTAAGATTAATAAATTTGTAATAACAACGAAAGGTTTTATTTTCTCCTTGTTCTTCTTCTTCTTCTTGAACATCATTATATAGCACCATTTTCAGCATTTTTGGGTATTTATTTTCCGACGCGAGTTTTCTTTTTTTTTTTTTTTAATAATTTCATCAACTTTTAAGTTATCCTTTCGTTTAGTTGAAGGCACAATAACAAATTTTTTAAATGCTTTAAAGTGATAAATATAAATGCAATATTTACGTAATTTTCTGTGTGTTTTGTTTAACGTAAGTTCAGAACGCTAATAGGTGAAATGCATTATATTTAATCTTATTTTGTACATACTAAATGGAAGACTATGAGTTATAGGCACCGTATTTTATATCATTTCATTTGAATGATTGAAAGTATTCATATCATTACCTTTTAGCATAGGCAACACACATAACGCTTCATGCTCTGGTTGCATAAGTAAGCGCCAACCATACGCAATGTTTTACACCTATTCATATGTTTACCCATTATCAGATCGTTAATAAAACGTAGATCTATAATAACAACATTTACAAATTCCCTAATAGACATTTTCCACCATAAAAAGCTAGAAAATTGTCTACTGCAATTACTGGCACAAGTTCCAATATTGTTAAATACATGTTTCAACGATAATAAAATAGCTAANTATATATATATATAAAAAAAAAGTAAAAATTTGCTAGTGCCTCTTCATATGTAGAGACAAATGGTCCGATCGACTGAAGGACCTTTGGCACAAGAGGCATCTGAAAGGTTTCTGGCCGGTGTGTTTCCTATAGTGTCGTGTAAGTTCGTCGGACCTCGCAAATTTCCAGGTGCATCCGTCCCAAGAACATTGGTACGGTTTCTCACCTGAAACATACCAAATTAACACTCACTGCTCACGACGTGCTGAAGAGATCCGATGAACATTTTTTTTAACCTAACGTAACGAGTTTATTGATTTAGTTACCTGTATGCGTCCGTTTGTGCGCTTTTAGATGCGAGCTTTTCGTGTATACTTTGTTGCAATCTGCCACGTCGCACCTGTGCACCTTTCGCCTCCTGACTGTTGCTTCCTCCGGTTTTCTTTCCTCGTAATTATTGTTGAGGGGAACCGTTTCGCTGTGCGACGACTGCATGTTAGTACTAGTCGTGTGTTTATGAACCGTTCTATAAAACAAAATTCAAAATTCATGCTGTTGTTTAGATTCATTACGCAATGCGATTGTATAAGGATAATCATTAGAAGATTAAATTTTTTAGATTAGATATGCACGTAATTATCACCCCTGGTCGGTGTTGTGATATTTCACACTGTTTAATCAAACGGGTGATTGGCTTGATGGTAGAAGTGCTCGCCTAGCACGAAATAGACTCGAGTTCTACTCCCGTCCGATGCGGTATCTCTCTTTTTTTTTTTTAATTAATTTTTTTTCTAATTTCTTTGTTTTTAAGGATCGATAGGAAAAAACAATCTGACAGAAGTAAGTGTACAAGTTGTTTGACCCACCGGTATCCAATAGATCTCGGTAAATTTGTGTCATGGAGCCGATGACACCGTTTTTAGCGGGATGAGAGAGACTTTCGATGTTTCAAATTTTTGTATACTTGTAAAGTACACGGACCTTACGTGTCAGGTGAGCGCAGTGGTATTTAAAAAAAATGATGGCAAAGAAAGCGTTTCGGTGTTTCGGATCGGAAACATGCCTTCATCTCTAAGGTCAGGAACGGCAATCGAATGTTTCTACGAAAACAACTTCTGCACCTTCTTCGTGTGGATATAAGTGTCTTCCTGTGCACAATGGACGGATTATTAACGGCAATTTAAGAGACGTTTTCATTCGGGGAAAAAAGCCAAGCGCGCTCTCAGGATCCGGTTTAATATCAAATAGCAATGCTTGTTACGGTAGAATCGCAGGCGGCCATGATTAATGAAGTATGGCGTTCGTTATTATTGCGGTACGTACCGCAATCGCGGGAGGTAAACGTCTTTCGCGGCGCGCTCTCTTAAAAAATAATTAATAGCTGAACGCGTCCTGTATAATACGCGCGCGTGTGTTGTGCGTAGGGTTGCCACCTCTTCAGGCTTTACATAAAGTATTTCTGGACTAAATGATAAAAAAAAAGTACTCGGCATAAAAATAAAGTATTTTATTTTTTGTTTTTAAAAACATATTTTTTGTTACACCTGGCAGCCAGTAACGAATTGCTGTCGCTCTTAAATACATTAATAGCCTCTAAACATGGCAAATAAAGATTTAAGTAAACTAAAAGTTCATTTTTAATTAGTTTTAATGAAGCTTTATTCCTGTCGACCCGTCACTTTGCGTTCATAACAGAGAATGCTCTTTCTGTAAATGCTGAAGTGGCCGGAACGGACAGCAAAAGTGACACTACTTTGAACAGATTGGGGAAATCAGGTTGTTCCGTAAATATGGCTTGCTATTTTTCTGTGTAATATTATCGATGTAAAAATACTCTGAATTTCGAATAATCGCTTACAAAATTACGATGTTTACTTAAGGCCTTAAATAAAGTATTTTTGCGTACTTTGTGTCTTGTAAACTATAACGTACGCACCGTCGAAATAGAGTCCAATACTTTATAATAAAGTACGGGTGGCAACCCTAGTTGTGTGTGTGTCAAAATTGAGATTATAATTTCTACGGCAAATTCAGTCATTTACAATTGAAATTGTAATGTTTGCGTTGTCATGAAAATTTAGTTTTCTCCGTGAATAATGAAAATTGATGAACTTACAGGGTGGCATCTTTGATCCTTTGCAATGCCATGAGGGCTGTGGACGGGGTTAAACTTGTCGATTCTAATCTTAAAGGCACTGATAGTTCTTGTTTTATGGCAGGGATTTTACGGGTTTCTGGAAAAGAAATAAATAAATCAAAATTAATATAGGCATCTAATAAATAACCACATAAATTAAGTATTTATAATTCCATTCTCTTCTTTGTTACTTTCTGAATGTAGGTACCAACGTAGGCGTCGTTTTCTTTACTTTATTATTTTATGGTATTATGTTATAATAAATTAATTCCTACATAGGAATTTTATGATACGTTGCGAAAAAATAAAGATTATACTGTCGCTAGGAGACAGAATAATCCATAGGTCACGACTTAGCGAGACGCTCGCGGTGTGGTCATCGTGGTAGTCAGTCGACTTGGCGTGGCTTACATTCGTGGAAGACCGACCGCACCCAAGTGTCATCTTCCGCCCTGGGGCCACTCCCGGCCCCCGTCCGTAGCCGCCGCCGCCGACGTTGTCGCCGTTTCGCGACCGAGCCCCCGCTGTTCTCTCGTCTTCGCGATGCCCGCTGACCCATCGACCAACGCCCAATATTGTAATAACGTGGAGATTCTACCACGAACATTTTAAAGGTCGGGACACACCAGAGCGAAAACCGATTACAAATCAGGCGAAAAAAAGAATTTTCAAAAACTAAGAAAATGAGCAGGACAAGGGTTAATATTTGTTTCTTAAAAGCGCCTATTGAAGACCTGGATCAGAAGATACTGACCTTGTTAGCAACGGATTTCATAATCCAACAAATATTTGTGAGAAATTATGAGATGATTTTCATTAAACAGTTGACAGATATCACACGTATCAACGAAATATTGTAATAACGAAAAGATTCTACCATTGACGTTTTAAAGGTTACCACACACCAGAGCGAAAACCGGTTACATATCTGGGAAAATAATGAAATACAAAGGTTCCATATGGGTCAATTTTCAAAAAATTCAATATTTTTTCCTTAACATTGAAGACCTGGACCATAAGATGCAGATCTTGTTAGCAAAGGATTTCATAATCCAATAAATGTTTCTGAGAAATTATGAGATGATTGTCATTAAACAGTTGACAGATATTACAAAATTCAGAACTCAAAAAATTTTCCGATACGCCAGCGTTATCAATACCTTTCGTAATGCTCACGAATGAGAAATTGTTGCACCGCCGGTCCTATTTTTTTGCTGTGTACATCTTCGAACGCGTCTTCCGCCACATCATGATGGCGCAGTTGTCTTTACAAGAGGTCAAAGAACGACCTGCCGCACCGATGCCCCGACAAGAGCACACCGAACGAATGATAATTAACATGCAAGGGAGTTTGACGAAGACTAGTGGTCAGGTCATCGGGGGCAACTAGTTGTTTGACTAACGGGACGCGTTTGTGTCGAGAATGAAAGGGGGTGATCGGTTCGGGCTCAAAGGTTAATTCTTGTAACTTAGCCAATGTACAGTGTTTACATGGGCAGGTACGTTAATTCTAATGTCCGTGTAACATTGCGTGAAGCTGAGGCTTTGTATAAAATAATTCGAAGTGGTTTGTATTCTGTCGAAACTGCCAGACGCGGATCGCGATTTCGACCTTTTTGGATCTCATCAGCGCGTCGCAGGCAGCTCCGACAGAACACAGACCAACTTTTACCTGCTGTCTTAACAGCGCGTTTTAGAAAATACCACAAATGGCGCGGTAAACGCCATCTGTAGTACGATGCTACATTTTAGGATTACGTATGCTCCAACAAGGTCCATTTAAATATATGGATATCTGCTTGCTGAAACGAATCCCGGCGTAGCTAATCTCAAAGTGATAGGCACGTTAGCTTAATCGAATAAAATAATTTGAAGTGGTTTGTATTCTGTCGAAACTGCCAGACGCGGATCGCGATTTCGACCTTTTTGGATCTCATCAGCGCGTCGCAGACAGCTCCGACAGAACACAGACCAACTTTTACCTGCTGTCTTAACAGCGCGTTTTAGAAAATACCACAAATGGCGCGGTAAACGCCATCTGTAGTACGATGCTACATTTTAGGATTACGTATGCTCCAACAAGGTCCATTTAAATATATGGATATCTACTTGCTGAAACGAATCCCGGCGTAGCTAACTTCAACGTGATAGGCACGTTACCATAATCGAATAAAATAATTAAAATAATTATTTTCCTTAGGCTTTGTCTTTATAATCGGTTGTCGAGTGTAACCGATAGATGGCAATGGATGTTAAATAGCGAAATCAAGGATTTACAACAGTTGAGTTCGTATTTGCAGAACATATAGTATGTTTAATGTAAAATAGTCTGGATAAGACTGATTTTAGTTCCCTGATGCAACAAGAAGGTGTTTTGACAAAAAATGCATGATTTTACGTTCTCGTAACGAACAATAAATATGCTGTCCGCAAATGGCGACTAATATTAAGTGGTTAAGGGATCGAGGATTTCCCATAAAGTAAATAGTTTTAGGCCTTCTTTCTTTGATATAGAGTAATTAATGCAAACCAATCTATTTATGATTTCTTATCTAAAACAGAGGAAAGCGTTATTTTAATNAATAGTTTTAGGCCTTCTTTCTTTGATATAGAGTAATTAATGCAAACCAATCTATTTATGATGATTAATTACTTTAAAGTTCAAGTCTTGCGAATAAAAATGTAACCTTGTTCTTTTCTAAAGTACAATAAATAATTACAACACGACCGAACAAATAATGGTACCCCGCCCCCATGCGGTCAATTCCGGTAGGCAGTTAAAACGATTTCTGTACACGATGAAAAATGGCCCGCGATGTCTTTGTTTTTTTTCTTTTTTTTAAATATAATATTTCTTTTGTTTTTGAACGGCGTCAGTCGCAGTGTAGCCTTGGGGGCCAGGAAAATTTGAGGCAATTAATAGTTATTAGTTTGGCAGGTGAATAAATAATTGTAGACTTTCACTTTTCAGGTGGATGTTGACGGTAATAGGTGAACGTTACCATATATTTTTTGTTATTAATGGATGGATATTAATAAAACAGTAAAAAAAAAAAAATAAATGTGCCGCGGGACTAGGGCGTACCTACATTTAGCTTTTTAGGAACATGAGTTACGGTTAATTAAAAGGAAAAAAATGTTCGCTATTTTCTATATAGTTTCAAACCTTTTTTTGACGTGACAACGTCTAATAATTCGATGGAGCCGGCTGCACGCACGAAAAAACATGACTCATGCGGCGTTACCTCGCTCTGAGGCGTTCCATTTAAGGCTTGAAGTGCAAGCGAGAGCGCGGAACGAGCGACAAAGAGGCACAATCGGCCTCCGCGTTCGGCAGCGTTCGACATCTGTCTCTCTCCTACTTGAGTGAGCGATGCGTCCGCGTGGACAGCTGCTATACAATAATACATTTCCATTTACCTCCTTCTCTATATCCATACAAAATATCTATCAAACAAATAAAATTAAAATTTTCCTTTGAAAAATGAAACCATTCCATCAGTATTTTCTTATGGCGTTGTCACGTTCAACTATCGTCAGTAAACCGACTTTACAGACAACCGATTTTTTTTTGCATCATCATCATATCATACGGTCGTGAGTCTTAAGACTGATTGGACACACATCTCGACTCGTTCCTATCCTGTGGTAATCTTTGCATTTCCTTAAAATTAGATCATCCAATATTCTTAACTGCATGTGACCAGTAATTTAATCGTAGCTTCTGTTTCTGCTTCTAATATGTCTCTGACTAGTCCTTCATGGCTGAGAAGGTGTCCCACCAAACTGTTTCTTATTGTTCTCCCATTCTTTCTAATATCTCCTCATCTCCTCCACAGTATAATCCTCATCATTGACCTGTAACACCACATTTCGAATGCTTCTAGCCTTTTCTTTTCCTTTTCTATTTTTGCAGGCGGTCATAAATCAATTTTACGAACACTTTAATTTACATGTATATTATAATTGTTTTCTACCACCCCGAATACGTTAATTTTTATGTGTTCCACTACTAAAGTGCGTCAAACAGAATACAGATTTGATTTGGATAAACGTTTATCGCCGTCTTTCTATTGTCTGAGATAGAAACGGCACCAGAACAGAAAAAAAATCACCATGTACGCTGCATAATGATAACTACAAATCGTCGCGGAAAAGCAAGCGTTATCTTTTATGAGACAGGCGCACGGCGAGCGTCCGTTTTTTCGAACAAAAACATGCCATTCAGTATCGCATAGAATCGCTACTTATTCATACGATTCGCGAGCTATGATAAGCGCTTTTATAAAATCCCGTCGCATGATTCATAAATCAGATACTACTGTCAAGTTTTTACGAACCAGCACACGCATCCTAACTTCCATCATCCACGACTTTAATGGTTCATCTGAAAGCTTTCGAAGTACCGACCTGCTGCTGATGATGATGGTTGTATTATTTCTTTTCAAATGTACTTATTAAATCTTGATATTTCGTGTGGTAGTTTTGCCTGCCTGCTTTTTTGCGTTGAACATCTTTAGCCCAAACTGCTGACATTTATGGGTAAGAATTTACGTTATGGATTTACCTACCACGTAATTCCCAACATGTTTGGACAACACCCAAAACCCATCCCCGAGAAAGAATTGTTTGCTGTTAACCGATGCGATGTCATAATCATAATAGTCGTTATTACTATCATCACAATCGTTCGTCAAAGGTGTAACAAGCGACGGTACACGGAGTTGGATTATAAGAATCGGATGGGTGTGATGGGACGGTACTGCAGCGGCGCGGCCTTGTTGTGAAAGAAGGAAAGATGGAAAATTAAGAGAGCTTCACAGTCGCACTGGTCGTTATACAATTTCGCCATAGAGACAGACACCACACCGTGGGAACAGGACGGTGTTCGACAAACCGACTATTACACAGCAATTTTTTGGATGATAAATAACAGACATCTAATAATATTTTTCTTTCGTAACTCGTAATCAATTAATTATTTATTATTAAGTCGAACTAATGAGTTCTAATACACCCAGTATCATTGATCATGTTATACAATCGATACATGTGACATTCGTGATATTGGTCCGTTTTTGGGCAGAGTTGGCATAC